AAATAAATGAAACAGAAATTTAAAAACAATAGAAAAGATCACTGAAACTAAAAGCTGGCTCTTTGAAAAGATAAACAAAATGGATAAAAATTTAGCCAGACTCATTAAGAGAAAAACGGGAGAAGATCCAAACCAAAAAATCAGAAACAAAAACGGGGAAGTTACTACACTAATCAAATGCACAGCCTAGAAGCAATGGACAAATTCTCAAAAAGGTACAATCTCCCAAGACTGAACCAGGAAGAAATAGAACAGACCAACTGCCAGTAGTGAAACTGAATCAGTAATTTAAAAACTCTCAACAAACATCCAGGACCAGGTGGCTTCACAGGTGAATTCTACCAACATTTAGAGAAGAGTTAACATTTATCCTTTTGAAACTATTCCAAAAAATTACAGGGGAAGGAACAATTTCAAACTCATTTTATGATGTCACCATCACCCTGAAACAAAAACCAAACAAAGATATCACACACAAAAATTACAGGCCAGTATCACTGATGGACATATTTGTAAAAATTCTCAACAAAATACTAGCAAACCAACTCCACCAATACAGTAAAGAGTTTGTAAACAAGATCAAGTGGGATCTATTCCAGGGAGGCAAGGATTTTTCAATATCTGCAAAACAATCAGTGTGAAAAACCCCATCAACAAACAGAAGAATAAAATGAGGGATCATCTCAATAGATGCAGAAAAAGCTTTTGACAAAATTCAACATCCACTTATGATAAAAACTCTTCAGAAAGTGGGCATAGAGGGAGCATACCTCAACAAAATAAAGGCCATACGTGACACACTCACAGCTAACATGATACGCAACAGTAAAAGGCTGAAAGCATTTCCTCCAAGACAAGAAACAAGACAAGGATGCCCACCTTCACCATGTTTATTCAACATAGTTTTGGAAGTCCTAGCCACAGCAACCAGAGAAGAAAAAGAAATAAAAGAAATCCAAATTGAAAAAGTAGTATTAAAACTGTCACTGTTTGTATATGATACAATAGTACACATAGAAAATCCTAAAGACCCTATCTGAAAACTACTAGAGCTCATCAATGAATTCCATAAAGTTGCAGGATACAGAATTAAAACAGAGAAATATGTCACATGTCTATACACTAACAATGAACTATCAGAGTCATTAAAGAAGCAATACCATTTACCATCACATCAAAAAAATAAAATACCTAGGACTAACCCTACCTAAGGAGACAAAAGTCCTGTCCTTTGAGAGCTATAAGATGCTAGTGAAAGAAATTGAAGATGACACAACAGGTGGAAAGATATACTGCGTTCTTGGATTGGAAGAATCAATATTGTTAAAATGGCCATAGTACTCAACACAATATAAAGATTTAGTGCAATTCCTATCAAACTACCAGTGGTGGTTACCAGTGGAGAGAGGGAAGGAGGAAGGGCCACTTTAAGTGTGTGATTAAGAGATACAACTATCATGTATAAAGTAGATAAACAACAAGAAGATACTGCATATTACAGGGAATCATAGCCATTCTCTGTAGTAACTTGTAGTGGAGTATAATCTATAAAAATAGTAAATCACTATGTTGTACTCATGAAACTAATATAATATTTCAAATCGACTAGACTTCAATAAATTAATTGCTTGATTAATTAAACAAATAAGTTACAACAATGCCCCTGAGGCCCAGTGAGATCAGTGGTCATAAATTTAAAATAAGACATGATGGCATGTGAATGAGTTTTTCTTCAACTATTTAAAACATTGTAGATGCAAACAGAGTAGACAGGAAGCTGGATTTTACCCAAATACAGTTTCCTATGGGAGAACAACAAATTGACAGATTAACTAGATGGAATTGAGGTGGTTCAGGAGTAATTATAAAATGATAGTGATTAAATTAATCTAAAAATAGAATTACCATATCATCCAGCAATCCCACTCCTGGGCCTATATTTGGAAAAGACAAAAGCTCAAATTCTGAAAGATACACACACCCCAATGTTCATAGCGGCACTACTGACAACAGCCAGGACACAGAACAATGTTAAATGTCCATCAACAAATGAATGTATATAGAAGTAGTATACGTGTATCTATATATATATATATATATATAATGGACTATTACTCAGCCATAAAAAAGAAAAATAATGTCATTTGCAGCAGTATGGATGAATCTAGAGATTATTATACTAAGAGAAGTAAGTCAGAGAAAGTCTAATATTATATATGACTTACGTGTGGAATCTAAAAATTAGTACAAGTGAACTTATTTACAAAACAAACTAATTCAGACATAGAAAACAAACTTATGGTTACCAAAGGGAAAGGTGGGGGGAATAAATTGGGAGTATAGGTTTAACAAATGCACATTACCATATACAATATAAACCACAAGGATTTACTGTATCGCACAGAGAACTATATTCAATGTCTTGAATAAAATATAATGGAAAAGAATTTAAAAAAAGAATATGGATATAAACATACATATATGTATAACTGAGTCACTTTGCTGTCCACTTGATATAAACACAATACTGTATACCAACTATACTTCAACACAAATAAATAAAATGATTGCATTAATTCAGAAAAGGAAAGAAATGAGAATATGAGTGCTATGGGTCAAATTGTGTCCCCTCAAAAAGATGTATTGAAATATTAACCCCTTCAATCAATGGACATGACCTTATTTGGAACTAGTCTTTAAAGATATAATGAAGCTAAGATGATGCCCTTAGCGTAGATCCTAATTCAGTATGACTGGTGTCCTTTCAGGACAGAAGAGAGAGAGACACCAGGAGAAGATGACTGTGTGACAATGGAGGTGGAGGCTGAAGTGATGAACCCGTAAGCCAAGGAATCCCAGCAACTGTCAGCAAATCCCAGAAGGCAGGGGAGGCAAGGAGGGATTTTCCCCTGCAGGTTCCAGAGGGAGCCTGGCTCTGTTCACACCTTGACTTTGGACTTCAGCCACCAGAACTGGGATAATTAATAAAGTTCCATTGTTTGAAGCCACCCAGGTTGTGGTACTTTATTACAAAACCTGAGGAAACGGATTCATTCATGATTAACTCACTGATGGTTGACTTCACACCACAGTGGCAGAGTTGAGTGATGGTGACAGAGATTGCATGGCCTGCAAAACCTAAAATATTTATCATCTGACCCTGTACAGGAAGTTTGCTGAACCCTGGTCTAGAGTGTGAAAGCAGGATGCAATCCGATGCAAGGCCGTCTATGAGAAACTCTGGGTGTCATTTAAGTAAGTCTGATACGCATTCAAAATAGACACATGAACTGTGGACTGAAGAGGTCAGAAAAGGAATCATGTTAGTTAATTTGAGAACATTGGGACTAGACCAAATTACACCCTCGGGGGGAGAACTGCACCTCATGGTGAGGAAAAGTAGGTCTTTTGTGCTTTTTGTCTGGTAAATAGTATCTCCCCTTTACTGTCCCAGTGGTCACCTGTCCAACACACTGAAAAGTGTAGGACGTGTTATGACATTTGCTCACTATTTCTGATGGCAAAGTGGGCTGATTGCCAAAATCAAGTGTCTGGTCTTTTAGAATCTAGATATACCATTGCTTCATTATAAGATTTATTATTTATCTTTCTTTTTTCTTTTGTTGTAAAATGTTTTATAACAACAACCGACTATTAATTAATGATCCTGACCATTGTGTGAACTGCAATTATTTATGTCATGATAACTTTTAGTCATTTAGTGCTTTGTTATTTGCAATGCATTTTTTTTTATTTTTTAACACCTTCATTGTGGATGGTTCCTGTACAGTAAACTACATATATTTCAGATGTACAATTTGATGCACTTTGATAGATGTGTACACCCATGACCACCACCACAATCAAGATAGCTAAAATTTCCATCATTCCCCAAGAGGTACAATTTTGGGGTTCCCAATTTACCCCTTCCCACCCTCTTCCCCTGCTGGTAACCATAAGTTTGTTCTGTATGTCTGTGAGTCTGTTTTTATTTTGTAGATAAGTTCATTTGTGTCTCTTTTTTAAGATTCCACATATAAGCAAACATATGTGGAATATTTTTGAATGCATGATATAATTTAATCCTTAAAACCACTCTGTAAATCTCTTTATTTTAAAGTAAAAAGTTTGCTTTACAGGGGAAGAAGTTGAGGCTCAGTAAAGTGACCAAGTTAGCATCACAACAATTTTTTTTTCCAAAAAGGTGGATCTGAGATAATTCCAGTAGCAAATTCATTTATTAACATAAACCACATGCAAGCTGATACTGCTCAAATTCCTCTAAAATGGTACTCTTGAAAAAAGAGTTTATTAGAATTGTAAAATTTCTCAGTGCAAGGAGTTCTCTTTTCTTGGAATTTAGATCGAATAAACAACTGAACGCCCAAAATTCAATGTTTTCCTTTTTTTCTACTTTGAAGATTCATAGTAACTGTGGTTGTGAGCAACTGACCATATCTCTGACAATTAACACTTTCTGGAAAGAACTCTACAAAGCCTTGGTCCTGACCCAACACGTGGTCCCTGCAGATTCTAGAAAGAATCCCAACGGGAGAAGAAACCATACAGAGCATTAGCCTATGAGCACCCCCCCGCCCCCGTTTTTTTTTAAAGAAGAATTCCAGTGATGTCCTCAAGGAGCGGCTGGCTTAAAATGTTCTTGGAAGGAGGAGGAGAGATCTTTGTTATAGACTTCCGTCCCTCCTCCTGCTCTGTTCCCTTACCCTCTGCCCCCTGCAGAGTTGTGTTTTCTGGGAATCAGCAAGTAAGATCACAAGTGGTCTTTTCTTTTTTCACTCTCTCCATAAAGAAAGCTTTATCACGTGTGGCCTTAAACTCGCAGCAAATTGCAAAGAAATGGCTCAAAGGCTTCAGCTCTTTCTGTGCCCTGGGAGCTGAGATGCACGTCAGTGGCTTTGCCAGCGTGGCCTGTTCCCTGCAGACTGCCAGAGAAAAGAGGCCAGGAGGAAAGAGAAAAGAAAAGGGTTTGGCCAGGGGTGAGACCATGCCCTTCATCTTTTCTTTCCCCTAATCTGCTCTGTCTGTGTCCATCCAGGCTCTCCCCACCTGGCAAAACTGCTCAGAGCTGCTGGAGACTCCACCTGCTTTCTCTTTCCGTCTGCGGAGCGTGGTCCAGCCTCTTGCTGGGCACGTTGAGAGGAACTGCCTGTCTGACCTTCACCTCCAGGTAAGATCTGGTTCTCTGCTTCCATATTTTATTATGATCACATCAGATTCTCACAGGAGAGAGGTTAACAAAAACTCTCATGTTCTGCATGACACGTGTCTTATCCACAACACTTCTGAAACGTGTAGGGGCCCTTGTTAGGTTGGTGGAAGTGGGAGAGGATATTGGTTCAAGAAGTCAGACAAACTCAGATCTGCATTCAAATCTTGACTCTGATGCTCGTTAGTCGGGTTGTTTTTGACAGGTCACTTAACTGCTCTTGAGTCATATTTTTTTTTCTATAAAATGGGAATTATACTGTTAACTTTGTTGAGTTGTTTCAAGGATTAGCAAAAAGTTTATTAAATACCTGGCACATAAACAGTCCTTATTAAATCTTCATCTGACACAAACAATTCCTTGTAGTGAAGGGAACCCCTCTTCCTTAGAACATACCATGAGGTTATCTTCCCTCCTGAAGGGAGGGATGCTGGTGTCCAGGAGACAAGCTCACGCAGAGGTTATCCTCTTGCGAGATGACTCAGAAAAGAAAGTGATGGCAGTGGCTGCCTTTGTGACTTTGTGGGGTCTGCGGAGGCTGACTGCTGGATGGAGTGTGTCACGGGATCAGGGCACGGAGGTCAGTATACCTGCGTGATCCAGATACTCCCTTCCTAGTGTGTGTACCTGCCCTCTTGAAAGACCGGAGGATTGCTTCTCTGACCCATGTGAACAGAAAATGCCATTAAAAAAAAAAAATACTGAATGAAGAACTTGGCTCATTTTCCTTTGGCCTCCAGGGTAAATTACACTCCAACTCAGGGTGTTGGATGAAAACTTTGCGGAAGTCTGTAGCAGAACAAATAAGGATTTGCCAAATGCAAATCCTGCTAAATAACTGTGTTTTTACTTTAATTCTGCAATTGCTAATGGGGAGAGCGCAAGAGGGAAAGAGCCCGCATGCATGCCCTCTCTCTCCACTCACCTCTCCCCTTCTTTTCAATGCTTGCAAACATAGCCTCCTTAAAACAGACGATACTTGAGGTTATGCAAACTAGCCATCAAGGTGAAATTGTAGTTTCAAACTATGCAATGTCAATATTTTAAGCTAGATGTTATTTTGGCTCAACACAGCATCAGCCAGAATGACTACAGTTCTCTTGTTTCTGTTATCGCTTCTGATTCTGGTTAGAGTGATTTTGGTGTTAATGTCTTTAAATATAAGACAGTGTATTTTGGTGTCTCAAGTTTTTAACGTTTTTTTCAACATTTTTTTCCTTTTTAGCATTAGCATTCTAGATGTAATCCCTTGAATCTTTTAAAGATGCATTTAGTATAAGTGGTAGTATATTTTATTATTAAACAATTTATTTGCTGGTCACCAGCTTTAAAATTATGATTGACCAGAAATAATATACCTGAACCCCTAAAACAGTAGGCCTGTTTGAATTCCATAGTTTAATTTGTGGAAGAGGATTGTGTTTCACACTGTAAATTTGACATTATTCATTTTGCATTTTAAAATCTTTCCGGCATATACTTCTTGCTTGGTGATATTTCTATATGTTTAATATTCAAAATAATTTTCATATAAGAAATGTATGTTCATTACAAAAAAAATTAGAAAATAGGGACACACAAAACATTTTAAAAAAATCATCTGCAATGTCACCAAATGTTGACCTTTTCTTTATAAACTTTATGAACCTTTGTTTCTATGTATATACACCTGTGAATATATGTGTGTTTCTTTCATAAGCGTTACATATGTTGTTTTGCAGTATTTATTGTTCAAATCAACAAGGTAATAAAAAATAGTTCTACATGACTATATTTACTTCTTTACACTAATTTCTAGTGATTTCAAAAGACTTCATTGTGTGAGTATACCATAATTGGTTGGACACTTAGGTCATTTTGTTGTTTTGATTTTCTTTTTTTTCAACTAAGTAATGCATCTCTCCAAGAGTTTAATTAAAGGTACTCAATAGTTTTGCAGTAAAGAAATCTATTTAACCCAGTGCTCCCCAAGCACTCATTCATTGTTCTGGCAAAACGTTGCTCTGGAAAACTAGTTTTAGCGATTTGATAGACATATGAAGTTGGTATTAGATGGTAAAGAAGAATGTCTATGTCTTCAGTTTCTTAGAATTTTTTTTTAAATCATGATTAGATGTTGAATTTTATCACCTGATGTCTTGCATCTATTGAGATTTTCATATTTTTCATTTTGAATTTTTTTCTAGCTTTATTGAGATATAATTGAAAATAAAATATTTAAGGTATACAATGTTTTGATATATATAGCATTTTGAATTTTTAATGTGATGATTTAGGTGAATAAAGTTCCTAATATTAATCAATTGTTTCATTAAAAAATCTTAATAATAGAATTTTAATTGATTTGTATCTGCTAGTATTTTATTTAGGATTTTAGCATCTCTAGGTTGGCTCTGAAGTTTCCTTTTTTGGGCTAACTTAATGAGATTTTATTACCAAAATAATCCTGCCTTTGTCAAATGAATGGAGACCATTAACATCTGTTTCCATCATCTGCTGTTTTTCCTTGAAGGGTATTACATCATCTACCCTTAGTATTTTTGTTTAGGGGATAGTTTTAGAGTATTTTTGTTAATGTCTTCCTGGGCTATTTTTCTCTCCTGGTTTGCATCAATACAGGTAATTTATATTTGCTAGAAAATTATCCATTTTGTCAAGACTTTAAAGTTATTCCTATCTATTTTGGATTATTTTTATTTTGGATTGTTCTAAACACTTGTGTTTAGAGCTAATATATTCTTGTGTCTTTGGCTTTTGCTCTTGTTTAGAATTCTCTGCTCTTTGTTTAGTTTTTTGGCTTTAAAATTCTTTTCTGTTTTCCTCACTTTCCTTTGTCCCCTTTTAAGTTAAACTTATGCATGTTTATGAAATTAAATAATCTAAAAGTCTAATAATAAATTTAAAAAAATGTCCTTGCCCTACCTTTGTCAACCCATTTCCCAATCCCTGGAGGAATCCCCTCCAATTTTAAATCCTTTAGGTCTTTCTTCTGATATTTAACTCCATCTTTCAAAATAAATCGTGTATCCTGCTATTTCTTGATATTTCAGCTTGAGATATTATCTATGAAATCAAACTATGAAAGACAAGGTTTCATCAACACAGAACAAGCATTACATTAAGTCAAGTTAGTATATACATAGAGAGAATAACCCTAAATTTCTACCACCATACATTAAATTGTTACTCCTAACTTTATTCTTTCAGTTAGTGTGACGAGAATACAGAAGATCTCTATTAATGTACAAATGCATCATCTGACAAACATCACAGTGATCCAGAAGTCATTTTTAAATTCATCACTTAGAAGACTTAATCAGGCAGGCACTGAGCTATATGGAATCCTGAAGAAGAGAGGGCACAGGATATGTAAATATTGATGTGAACAAAGGGGAAAATAGATTCAGACTATGTGAATCTGCCCAGGAGGATGGGAAATTAGACACCAGCAGGGAGGCCATCATTCTTACTTTTAAAGGCAGACCAAAGACTACTTTTGCCTGAATTAAATTTATACCTCAGGCACAAATCATGCTGCTTCCTTAAGTGCCAAACTAAAATGATACACAAATTGGCCCCCCACCCCATCTTAAGCCTTACTTTGGGTGCTGCAGACCTATAGGAATCACAGCGTGCTACAAGCATCGACCAGGGGCATCAATCTTTTCTATCCATTCTGCTAAGATGATACATTTAAAGGCTTGAAAGTCTTGATGCTAATGAATCAATGTTCAAATGGCTGAATTCCTCATCCTCCTTTCCTGTTTGCTGCTAGTTTAAGCTGGCAAGACCACAAAGTTAGCAAAATTCTTCCTTGTTATTTATTCCAAAGGCAACACCTAAATTTATTCTTTGCCATAATGAGGCTTAAACTGGACGGATTGAGAAAGAATGCTGGCTACAGAATCCCAATGGCAGGATTACTTAATCAAATATCCTGGTTGATTTTAATTGAAAAACTTTGCCAACTTACTGTGATAAAATCAGGTAGCTTCAACGTCAAGTTATGATGTCTACAGAATTGTGATAACACTGTGAAATAAAAACTTCATTTAATAAACTATGTGGATTAGAATTAAATTTTTTGTTTTTTCTTTTAAAAATCAGCTTTGACAGATCAGAGTCAAGGAAGGTTTTCATAATGGACACTTCATCCAAAGAAAATACCCAGTTATTCAGCAAAAACTCAGTGCAACCTGTTGAGAGGCCTTCCTTTAAAACAGAACACCCCTCCTCAGAGGAGAAACAGCCCTGCTGCGGTGAACTAAAGGTAACAGACAATTAAATGCTAAACAACCACAAGTGGTTAACTGAAAAGCACCAGAGAATTCAGTGCAGTTCATGCTCTTGGCTCTCAATCCAGATAATTTCTATACGTTGTAGCTAGAAGTGAGAATTTTTTTTTTTAAAGTGATCTTAGATGGAATTTATGAAAACCACACCTTGCTGGGCAGTGAAAAGCAGTCTTTGACCATGTAGGTTAAATTACTAAATATTACTTTCCTGGCTGATTTGAATGCCCCTCCTGAACAGAAAGGAGAGAGGTAGAAGAAACTAGTATTTATTAAATATCTACCAGGTACCAGACATTATGCTATGCCGTTACAACATTTAATCAAGGAAACATACATATTATTCCCATTGTAAAAATGAAAAATCTGACTTTCCTGGCCAGACGGTAAGGAATGAGGTTGCCTTTTAAATGGGGCTCCATGTGACTCCAAGTTCTTGTTCTTTCTTTGTATCAAACATTTCACTCAACAAATATATATACATATGTTTTTTCATGTAAATGCTAATCTGTCTAATGAATATGCCATCACAGACCCAGGTCTAGCAAAATATGTAAGCCAGATACCAAAAGTTTATTTTTTTCATTGAATAAGAATTTGAGTATGAATTTAACTTGAATATGAATTTAAACACGAAGAACAGTAGTTCTGCTTTTTCAGGCTATTATGTTCCCTGCTGAAACATGCACCATCTCTGTGAAATACACAATCATGAGTTCTAGATTTGGGATAAGGCATTAAGTGTGTGGCTTATGGTTTTTGTTAAATTGTCTTACCTTTCAATGGCTTCTTCCTCTCTTTGCTTCACCTGCAACGAATCTTCTTTTTGAAGCTAAGACAACTCTGAATATCCTTTGGGGGAAGAAGGGAGAAAGTAAGAAAAAAAAAAGGAATTCAACATACATTATGAATAAAAACCTGTCATTTCCAGGAGAATCTGAATTGTTAGAACTCCACACGAGCTTGAGGTGGCAGGAAGCCTATTACTCTGCTTGAGTGAAATCTTCAGCGATAACGAGCTTGCTACATGGTTCCTGGTTTGCGTTTTTTGCCTCTTTGTTTAGTAAACTTCCAGTCATGTGTCAGGCTGGAGTAAGAAAGACTAAGTTTGCTTTTCGTGTTTTATCAGGTGTTCTTGGGCGCCTTGTCTTTCGTGTACTTTGCCAAAGCCCTGGCAGAAGGCTATCTGAAGAGCACCATCACGCAGATAGAGAGAAGGTTTGATATCCCTTCTTCACTGGTGGGAGTTATTGATGGTAGTTTTGAAATTGGTAGGTATTGCAGATGCCCTGACTTCACTTAAGTACAAGGTTTCTAGGCATGACAACTTCACTGCCTTCTGCTGTCTGCTAGAATCAGACCCTAATTGTAAAAATCTGATTTGGGCAGAATTTGCCATGACCTTATGCTACAGTAAAGGCAATTTGTTTTCTCCAAGCAAACAGCAATTAATATCCTGCCCCAGGTGTTCACTATTACATGACTCACACAATTCAGTTTCTAATCAGCATTTAAGGGAATTTTCTGGGAGAGATGGAAAGATGCTGCTGGTATTTTGAGTTAAAAGAATGTAGGAAGAATTATATATCCTGGAAGCCCTGTGATTCAAAGTTCGGAAAAATCCAAATGAGCCCTACAATACTGTATTGTAATGATTTAAGAAGAAGGTAAACCATAAAAGGGTTTTTTTTTCTGCCCAGTAGCCTGGAAAGAAAAGAAAGGGATTCGATTAAGAAGAACGCTAGAGCAAAGCAGGCAAAAAATATTCTGCTCTCCCGTGTCTTTGGTTAGCCATTGACTATACGTGTCCTCCAAGAACTTGAAAAGACTAAGTGACTTTAGACACTGTTTAAAGACTGTAATCCCACTTAGTCAGCTTCTTGAACTATAAACTAAGAGGCTTTGATTTTTTGTTGAAGTAAACAAAATGAGTAGCCCCTGTGACCCTTACTGCCTGTTGGGACTCAAATATATGCTACAGTAAAATCTCTGACGGCTGCAGGTGCAGCTTCACTTGAATTTTCAGAAGCGGGAAGGAACATTTTTCAATAATTACTTTTTAAGTTCTATTGGGCTGCACTCTGCCCGCCTGCAAGCCCTGTACTTGCCCAGCTTCAAGAGCAAAGAGAAGAGTCCGGAGTCAGCAACAGAGACATCAGTGGTTTAGTGGATAGAAGGGACTCTTACATGTCTGAAGCAGGGTCCGGGGACGACACACCACCCTGCAGGGCAGGCAGCAGACCAGCCATGGCAGCGGCTTTCACTTCCGGGGTGGGAGGGGGAGGTCACCACTTATAGGGGCAATTGACTTCAGGTTGGCTCACTGGTTACCAGGGAAACCAATAGAGGGGCACGCCCCTCACCGACTCTTTGATAAGCTATCCTATCCTAGAGTGGAGAAGTTCTGGTCTAAAGTTAGAGCAATCGCTAGTGGGGGTGGGGGCAAATACGTAGGATGGCAGTCCTGTGAGCAGAGTGTAGGTGACTCAGGGACTGGTCTAGTAGGGGACGTACAGAGAGCAGGAGAACAGCCATCTGGGGTGGCCCGATCCTGCAAGTTCACACTGTATATTTCAGTTCTTACTCTAAATATGACAGAATGAAAAGAGTGAATAGGTCAACTTTTGCCTTCAGACTTTTGCTTCCCAAATCCATCTTTCATCATCCTACCAGAAAGATTTCTTGGTTCAATGCTAGCCAAACATGAATGTTCACACAAATGACTGGATAATTCTGTTAAAATAAAATGCGTAGACTGATTCTGTAGGAAGGGAGGTTAAGAGTCTGTGTATCTAACAAGTACCACCTGATGTTAATGCTATTAGTCAATAGGCTGCACCTTGTGTAACAAGTTTCTGAAAAATTTGATCATATCACTCCCTTGTGTAAACTCCTTAGATAGGACTGGACAGTTGATTTATTCCTTGATGCCTGCCCTACCTAAAAACTGAATTCCAAATTAATGAAAGGCCACGGAGAGTCAAGGTAAGGGTAACACTGCATCAGGAGAAGCAGCAAGTAGGAAGAGGCAGCTGGTGCAAATCAAAAGGATCAGATTTACAGAAAAAAGAAGAAATGAGCAGATAGAAAATTACATATGAAGTCTTCTTTGATTATTGCTTGCTCTAGATTACTGTGTAAAAACTTGTCAGAGCTGAAAAGACTTAGAATCTGGTCCAAACTTTTCGTTGGATTCCCAGATCCTAATGGACAAATGGAGAGAATCTATGTTTGATAAAGCGTACTGATGTTTCACAGGATGTGACAAAGGACCCGAGTCCAAATTCACAGTAATTCTTCCAGACCATTCTAAGGATAGAAATTGTTTACTGGATTAGATGAAATAAAAGCCCCCTTCCTTCCATTGCGAGACTTTATCCCAAATATCACAGGTCGCTCTAATTAATAGTTTTCCAGAAAAGTGGGTTTCCTGGCTGTAATCTTAATTTACTCCTTTTGTCTCTCTCCACATTCCTTTCTTCCAGGATTCTGTACTCATTTCTACCCTCTCTCACTCACTTTAAATTCTTCTTCTTCTTTTTTAACAGAACAATTTCATTTATCTTTTGACATCAATTGACATGATCATCTAACATCCACATACTGGACAGTCAGTTTCTTCCCAAGTAAAGAATTTTTTCATAACAAGGACTCTTTCTCCAACAAAGTCAGAGAGTAGCCAAGAAAATGTTTTCTATATCGAGTCCTTAACATTTCCAGATATTAACTCTTTGTTTCAAGTATTTTTTTATGCGTTTTCTTCTAAATATTTTAAAACTTTCACTTTTTACATTTTAGTATTTAGTCAACTTGATGTAGATGTTTTTAGGCATACTTTGTTTTTTAAGGCAGTTCACAGCAAAATTGAGTGGAAGGTACAGAGATTTCCCATATACACCCTGCCCAGAGTGGTACATTCATTATAATTAATGACCTACAATAACACCTCAGTATCATCCAGAGTTCACTTAGGGTTCATTCTTGGTGGTGTATATTTTCTGGGATTGAACAAATGTATAATGACATGTATCCACTATTAAAGTATCATATAGAGTACTTTCAATGCCCTAAAAATCCTCTGTGCTCTGTCTGTTCACCCACCACTCCCCTCTACCCCCGGCAACCACTGATCTTTTTGCTGCCTCTGCAGTTTTACCTATTTTAGAATGATATATACGCAGAATCATACAGTATGTAGCTTTTTCAGATTGGATTCTTTCACATGGCAATAAGCATTTAAGGTTCCTTCATGTCCTTTCATGACTAGATTAACTCATTTCTTTTTGGCGCTGAATAATAATCCATTTTCTGGATGGAAACCTTAGTTTATTTATCTGTTCATCTACTGAAGGACTTCTTGATCGCTTCCAAGCTTTTTGGCAATTACAAATAAAGCTGCTATAAACATCTGTGGGTGCAGATTTTTGTGGGGACATAGATTTTCAGCTCTTTTGGGTTAAAACCAAGGAGCATGATTGTTACAGTGTATTTTGTGGTTCAAAACGTGGTCTCTCTTGGTGAATGTTTCATGTTGTATATTCTGCTATTATTGATGAAGTAGTCTGTAGATATCTACTATCTACATATTGCCAGTTGATTGGTGGTGTTGAGTTTATCTTTTTCGATTTTCTTTCTGCTAAATCTTTCCATTTCTGATAGAGGGGTGTTGAAGCCTCCAACTGTAACAGTTGACTCTCATATTTCTCCTTGAAGTTCTACCAGTCTTGCCTCACGTATTTTGATACTCTGTTACTAGCATATGCACATTAGGGATTGTTACGTCTTCTTGGAGAAGTGACTCCTGTATCATTATGTAACGGCCCTGATAACGTTCCTTGGTCTGAACTCCTGCTCTGTCTGAATTTAATATACTACTCCTGCTTTCTTTTGATTCCTGGTAGCATGCCGTATCTTTCTCCATCCATTTACTTTTAATCTGTAGGTGTCTTTATATGTAAAGTGAGTTTCTTGTAGACAAAATCTTGACCCATTCTGACAATCTCTGTCTTTAATTGGTGCATACAGACCGTTGATGTTCAAAGTGATTACTGATACAGATTAATGTCTACCATATTTGTTACTATTTTCTATCTGTTGCTCTTGCTCTTTGTTCCTCTATTTGTCTTCCACTCTTATTCTGCCTTTTCTGGTTTTTATTAACCATTGATAATATTTTATCTTCTGCCCTTTATTAGCAAATCAGTTACACTTCTTTATCTCACCTGCTTTTTTGGTTGCTGTAGAGTTTGCAATATATATTTACAACTAATCCAAGTCCACTTTTAAATAACTATACCACTACATGGGTCGTGCAAGTACCTTAGAATAACAAAATAATTTATTTCCTCCCTCCTATCCTTTGTATCATTCATTTAATTTCACTTATACGTAAGCATACTTACATCATGCATAAGAATACATTACTGAATAAATTGTTGATATTATTATTTTTGGACAAACCGTTATCTGCCAGATCAATTAATAAAAATAAAAGTTTTTCATTTACCTCCACTTGTTTCTTCTCTGATGCTCACCCTTTCTTTATGTACATCTAAGTTTCCAAACTTAATCATCTTTCCTTTCTCTTAAGAACTTCTTTTAACATTTCATGAGAGGCAGGTTTACTAGACACACATTTCAATATTTGTTTTTCTGAGAAAGTATTTCTTCTTTACTTTTGAAGAATGACTTCACAGCGTACAGAACTACAGGTTGGTGGAGTTTTTCTCTCAACACTTTAAACACTTCTCTACACTCGTTCCTTGTTTGCACGGTTTCTGAGAAGAAGTCAGACGTAATTTTTATTTCTGTCTTCTATAGGTAAGGTGGGATTTTTCCTTGTCTTTTCTGAGGAAACTTCTCCTTATCTTTGATTTTCTATAGTTTGAAAATAACATGTCTAGTTTAGATTTTTTGGCATATCTCATGCGCATTGTTCTCTTAGCTTCCTGGATCTGTGGTTTCATGTCTGACATTAATTTGGTAGAAATTCTCAGTCACTATTGTTTTAAATATTCCCTTCTTTCTTCTCTTTCAATTCCCATTACCTGTACATCACACCGTTTGTAGTTCCACAGTCCTTGGATATTCTGTTCTGTTTTTTACAGTCTTTTTCCCCTTTGCTTCTCAGTTTTGGAGTTTTCTGCTTCTGCACCCTCAAGCTCAGAGACTGTTTCCTCAGCTGTGTCTAGCCTCCTAGTAAGGCCATCAAAGGCGTTCTTTATTTCTGTTACAGTGTTTTTGATCTCTAGCACTTTTTTTCAGTTCTCAGAATTTCCATCTCTCTGATTACATTGCCCATGTGTTCTTGCATGCCGTTTACTTTATCCATTAGAGCTCTTGGCATCTTTATCATACTTGTCTTAAATTCTCAGTCTGAGGACTTCAACATCTCTGCCATGTCTGGTTCTGATGCTTTCCCTGTCTCTAAAAAATATTTTTCTTTCTACTTTTAATATGTAATTTTTTTTTCTTCATAGCCAGGAAGGATGTAATGGGTAAAAGAAACTGCTATAAATAGGCCTTTAGGAATGTGATGGTGAAGTATGAGAAAAAGGAAGCATCCTATAGCCCTGTGGCTCTGGGGTTCTTAGTGAGCCTGTGCCTCTGGACTGTAAACTTCAGACCTGCTTCTCAGTCCCCCTGACCTCCATCAGTGGGACAGGAGGGCTAGAGCCGGCTAGGGTTGGGTACTTCCCTTCCCCCAGGTCAGTCAGGCTCTGATCATGCCCCAGCAGGTGAGACTCTGATTAACTGGTTTCCCCTGAAGTCAGGCTTTCTTAAGAAAAACAGAGCGCTTGGCATATTTCAAAATGGTTCTCTTTCCCCTCTTCATGCAGGAAGCCAAAAAGTTTTACTCTCCAATATTCACTGAGAACCTAGTTGAGCTTTTGAAATAAAACTCACAAAAGTGTGGGGACCTTCAAACACTAGGTCCTCCTGGAGCTTTTTATCACTCAGATTGTCCATGCTGAGCCTCCAGCGACTTGTCAGTTATAGTTCAGGGTTCTCTTTCCTTAGCACTTGTTCCTAAGGAGATTTGTTCTTGTGGACTTCAGCTTCAGCGGGCCACAATTCTCTGCATTTGCTTATTGGTCTCTCCAACTTTGGGGCCAGCATTTGCCCTATGACCCCCTCTCTGACAGATCTAAGAAGAGTTGCTGATTTTTTGGCTTTTTACTTGGTGTTGGGATGGAGTGGCTACTTCCTGCTTCTTACATGCGGGACCAGAAAGGTACATCCTCAGAATAAATTTTTTATATAAAGTCAGGTAGCAATCTCTTTATGTTATTGTAACTAATTGTCCAATCACCACTAATTGAATATATACTTAACTCAATTATTTGCAATACATTCTTTATCATATATTATCTACCATTTAAGTGCAAATCTTTTCTATAAGTCTGTTTATCCATAACTCAATACAAGACTGTCTTCTTTTTTTTTTTTACATTTTTTAACATTTTTTATTGATTTATAATCATTTTACAATGTTGTGAAGACTGTCTTCTTGATTATAGTTTTATAATTAGCTCTGCTATTAGGTAGGAAAATCTACTTTTCCATCAATTTTTTTTTTTTTTTAGTGTGAGGCATTTTCTTATTTATTTATTTTTATTTATTTTTTTTTACATTTTTTATTGATTTATAATCATTTTACAATGTTGTGAAGACTGTCTTCTTGATTATAGTTTTATAATTAGCTCTGCTATTAGGTAGGAAAATCTACTTTTCCATCAATTTTTTTTTTTTTTTTGGCTATACTTGGATAAGTTCCCTGAAATACCCTATTTTGGCTTGATTGAAATTGCATAGAATTTATATATCAAACCAGATGACTGACATTTTACATTAGTGAGTCTTTCCATCCATAAATATGGTATATCTCTCCATTTATTCAGCCCTTTTTTATAGCTTTCAATATTATATTTATGAACTATAAATAAACTACTAATCTTTTGTTAGATGTATTCCTACGTATATAAAGTTATATTGCTATTTTGAAAAGAACTTTTTAATTACATTTCCTTTTATTAATTCCTGGAACACTGAAACAGTATAAATATGTATGCAGCAATCTAGTGAACTTATGTTAATTTTAATTAATCGTTTTTAGATGCTGTAGAGTTTTACGAACAATCATATTGTCTGATACAGAAGACAATTTCGTACAGTTCTCTTCAATTCTTAGATTTGTTATTTCTTGTTCTTGGCCTCTGTCAGAGGACATCCTCCTCTCACTTCTGACCTTAATGAAAATACTTTTAAAACTTCACCACTAAACAATATGCGTGCTGTATGGTTTTGATAGAAAACACTTTAAAAGCTGATTTTTTTCAGATTTTTTTTTCTTATCACAAATGAGTGGTTAATTATATTGAATGCTTTTACCACATCTCTTAAGACAACCGTGGAATTCTTCTCATTCCATTATTTAATACAGAGGTTTAATTAATAGATTTTTTTGGTAGTAGCTTTGCACTTCTAGAATGAACTGCATTTGATCTTTCCTTTCATTGTCCTTGTCTAGCCTGGTTTCAAGGGCATATTACTCTTATAGCAAGAGCTGTGTAGCTTTCTTTTCCATTACGTGAAGTACTGGGGTGGGGGTGGGTGTTTGGGGAGAGAGAGAGAAAAAGAGAGAGGAAAAATCTATTACTTGAAAATTTGATAAAACGTATTTGTAAAACTCTCTGGACCTATTGTCTTTTCCAGAAATTAGTGACAGTAGATGTGAAAGAATTTTAATGCCCAATTTGGTTTTTTACATTACTCATCACCACTTATTTTCTAGGTATATCTTCTGAGAATTCAGAAGAAAGGATACTAAGCAAAGGAAGCAAAAACTTGTGTAGATATCACTGACACTAAAACGGTATCATGTACTGTTTGGCAAACCCACTAATGTAACACAGAATTAGTCTGTAAACGTGAGTTCTTTGCTGTGAGGTGTTGGTGGCCCAGGAGTTGGGGAGGGAAGGTGATGGTGCAGTGGGGCGGGGGAAGGACACATTACCTATGAATTGAAAGTCAGCTTTCACTTTAGTTTGGTTGATTTACTGTGACAGATCAGCAAAACTATAGACATAATTATCAATATGATATGATACAGAATTTCTTCTACTAAATACTTAAATGTCAAATGAGGAATCGCATACTCAGTTAGGTCTTTGTTTAATCTGAAAACTGAAAAAAGTTTTATTCTTCCTGGAGCCACACAGCCTGGAGCCACAGAGCCTGGAGCCACTGTAGCCTGGAGCAAGCTACTTTTCTCACTGTCATGATTGTCCTCCAGGCTGTTCTTTTTGCACTTGACGAAAGCTGGCAGTGTGAACAAACAGTAGTAAATTAGATGATTGCTTACAGAGGTAAGGAAACACACTCTTTCTGGAAAATTGGAAACATCGAGAACTTCAAAGCAAGGCCACCCAACAGCCATCACAATCAATTGCTGGAGAAGTGCTAGGTTTTACTCCACCTAGCACTGCAGTTCTTAAAAACTAAATATTCCAAATGCAAATATCTAAAACTTTAAAGCCCTTTTAAATCTAAGACCCGAAACAGTGTTTATCAAAGCATGTTCCAGGAACCATCTCCATCAGCATATTTAAGCTGGTATTAAAAATGCAGATTTCTTGGCCTGCTCCCCATGCACCTCCCCAACCATGGAATCAGAAACTGTTAGGAGCTGCCAAGATTCTGCATTTTTAATATTTCTATTTCCCTCACCATCCCTTTCCAGCAATTTTTGTGCACAGCAAAACATAAGAACATCCTTCCTAAAGCATGTTTAATCAGTTATCATCACCATCAGCTAAAATTTATCACATCCTTCCTTCACTAGAGATAGTTGGAGGACCTAAGTTCCACCTTCAGAAAAAAATTCTTTATTTTTTTAAAAAAGAGATGGTTATATTTTATACAGATTTTCTATTTTATAAAATAGAGGCATACATTGAGGGTTATATAAAACTGATATATTTCTGAAGTTACGTGGAATAATTTTTATTTCTATTTTGAGTCATATTTTTGTAAAAAGCATATAAACATGTTTTTCATAATTTGAATAAAACATGTTCATTTTATTTTTTCTTTCAGGAATATCAGCTAAAGCAAGAGTATATAATGTATGTCAAGAGCAAATGGGAAACTAGTAGAAGTTTTAATAGAAAACGTTAACAAGTGAAGAAACAGTAATAAAGTTCACTTCAAAATCACCAGGGAAAATTTAAGAGAGCAACTAAAGAAAGACTCTATTACTTGATTTACTGATAAACCACTTTAAAAGGACAGATAATTAAGGTGGATGAAAATAAGGTAGAAGTGTTGGTTATGAAAATATTTTGATAAAGGAATGAGATGATTGAAGTAACGAAGCTAAAGATAGTTTCAACAGACATCTCAGATTAAAGGAAAGAAAGACAAATGATGTGGAAGATGTTGGAGACGGCTTAGTCAAAAACAGAATGTTGCCAGACCTTCTTACAGGCATTTGTTCATTTAGTTACTCTGATGACTTATTTCTAAGTTCTCTAATGTATGAATATTTTATTCTTTTCCCCAAAGGGAATCTCTTAGTTATTACATTTGTTAGCTACTTTGGAGCCAAACTTCACAGGCCAAAAATAATTGGAGCAGGATGCCTGATCATGGGAGTTGGAACACTGCTCATTGCAATGCCTCAGTTCTTCATGGAGAGGTAAGTCTAAAGCAAACATCTTTTTCTTGCTTTAACCAACTGCATGTCTTCCTTTTGATGATTACAATTATTATTTACAGTTAAGAAAATAACTCCTTGCTTAAACCATGGCAATTTGTATCTTACTTTTTTTTCCATCCACTTTGGGCAAAATTTCAAAATGCTTACAATTTTACTTACAATTTCATAATCTATAAAATACTTTTTTGATATACTACTATGTATTGATGTCAACAAAATTAAACAGAAATGTTCACTAACGTGTCTTCATTCAAATGTTTTCATTTAGCTGGGAGGCAAAGTATATAAGTAAAAAGAAAACAATATATTGTGTGGTAAATGTCGAACGAGTGTCCAATGGGTAATGAATGAATGCCACAGACAATATGCAGGACCATGGTATAACTGACTAGCAGATCTCTGACTGAGGGACATTTAACCAACTGAAGTAATTATTCAATGTCCAAATATTTTCTCATAGAATTTTCTCCATAGAAGATGAGCATTTGTATTCCTTAACCCTGGAGTTTACTTTTGATAGTAATTCTGTTAGTACTTGCATACAAGTTTAGTCATTCCAAAGGCTTCCATATTTGTCATGTCATTTCACCTTTACAAAAACCTGTAATTGAGGAAAGCATAGTTTATCTTTTATATTTTAGAGCTAAGGACAATGACTTAGAGAGTCTGGTGACCTTCTCAAGTTTAGGTGTTCTGTAATCACAGAACCGGAATCCTAAAACAAGTACTTTGAGTTCTTTGTACATATTAACGTTGCCTCTCTTCTCTGTGATTACTTATTGCCCACTGAGTGAAGTGACTACCATGAGATTTTGAAGCAAGAGAGTATTTTAGAAAATTATATGGCAAGAAATACTTGGATGATTGCCCACTCTAGACCACCATATCATGACATTTTAGAGCTGGAGAGACTTAGAAATGATCGGGTCCAAACTTCCTTTTGGATTCCCAGGTTACTTATATAAAAATAGCCTGATTTTGACTTCTGTGTCCAATCTATAAAGATCACAGAATCCTCTGTGTAGGGCCTCTCCTACCTGTTTGGATGGTTTCTCTGGCTCCTTTGTCTTCACTTGGAGAGGGATCTGTAGCTTCAGGACTTCTGCATGCTCTTTAGACATCCATCTGGCCTCCTTTCCATGGGGCAGAAGTTTTCTTGATCATTGAGGTTCTACAAAGGTGTATATGGGGCCAGTGGGCAAGGAGGAGGCAAAGGAGAAGGCTGAGGAAATGGGTCTCCAGTCCACCTAACCCCTCCCTGACCCATGGCTGTGTTTTCTGTTCCAATCACTGAGCCCCCATGCAACAGTTTACTCAGAGGGGGAAAAAGGTTCCACTACTAAAAAAATTTAAAAATTTGAAAGTAGTTACAGAGGATAGATAAATCCTTGACCACTGACCCAACTCATTCTGGGGTGGCTCTTCTATGTGACCTTGACCATGGTACCTAACCTTCCTAGGCCTCAGTTTATGCATCTTAAAATAGGTATTATAGACATTGAAAAGAATACCTAGCTTGTAATGCTGTTGCAAATACTAAATGATGTGACACAGCTAAAATGGTGACCAAATTTCCTGACCTAACTAGTAGCTGTGTTTTTCTTGTTGTGTATTGTTATCACATCCTCCTCAGATAAATAAGCCACCTGGTTTTAACCAGAGACCAGAAATAAGTTGTCTTAAAGATGTTGCATCCAGATTAATAATAGTCTTATTTTAAGTTAATGACAAACAGACTAATACAAGAAAATCAGAAGGAGAATTATATCTAAGAGAAGCCAGCCAGGCTAGTGCTGACAAAGGATGTCAAACAAAGACAGATTCTTACTGACCACATTTTATATGTTGAAAGACATATTTGTTCATTTATTATTCAGTGTCTGCCATTTGCTTGGTACTGTGCCACGTAATGGGGAAAACCCAAAACGAAATAAAACAAAAATACGCACACATAATACTTGCCCTCATGAAGTTTGCTATCTACTGAGGATACTGCCCAGCTTCATACTCAGAAAACGTAACTAAAAGCCTATGAGTTCTCTGTAATAAGACAAAATTATCAATAAAAATTCATGTGCAAATACATAGACAAGTATTTTAAAAATAAAATTAAAAAATAACTTCTTTTTAACCTTTCACAGCATTAGTCACTAACTGGATACTTGTCCAAAACGTAATTTCTGTTCTCTCAAAGATGACTACACTTTGTCTACCTGCAGAAATACCCTTCAGGTCCAGCAAAACATAGTATTACTTATAGGTATCAATTATTGAGGGCCTACCCCCAACAAACTGTGTTCAGCTTTATGTGTGTTAGTTCCTCTGACTTATAAATTTAGTAAATATTTATGGATCATTGTTCTAGGTAATGGGGATGGAGTAGTGACAAAAATCTCTGCTCGGAAGGATCCTATCAGGAGGAGATACACAATAAATAAACAGATAAATAATGCTATAGTATGCAAGATCCAGTGTGAAGTGCTACAGAGAAAAATAACCCAGGGAAGTCACATAACAGGATATGTGTGTTGGGAGGGGGATACAGTTTAAAGTAGGGTTGTCAGGGGGTGGATCGCTGAGATGATGACATTTGGGAAAGGCTGAAGGCGATGCGGGGAGAGCCATCCAGCCTCGGGAAGAAGACTCTAGGCTAAATGGACAGTGAATGCAGTGTTCCTGCAGCAGGGGGGATGTGGGCACGGGGTGAGCTCCAGGCATGGATGAGCGTGGCAGGAGTGTGACGGGGTAAGGAGGAGACGTCAAGGTGTTTCTCAAACCGTGATGGACGTGTGAACCACCTGAGGCTCCTGGCAACGTACATGATTCTGATTCAGTAGCTCTGGGGTGGGGTTTGCTGCTGCTGGTCTGCAGACCACACTTCCGGTAGAAAGGTCACAAATAATGGCAAGGACCTTTCCTTCTCAGAATGGCGTGGGAAGCCAGAGGAGAATTTTGAGCAGAATGGCATGATCTGACAGATTTTTAAAGGGACACACTGACTATTGCTTGGAAAAATAACTCTGGTGGGGCAAATTTAAAAGCAGAGAGACTATTTAGGGGGCTGATATAAACTTCACGCATTACAATCAAGAGTGCATCACTCTGTGTTGGAAGCTAGGTCAGAACGAAAATCCCTGATTTAAAAGCATTTCCACCACTGGTCCCCTGTTCAGTCCCTTCCTTGTCTCCTTATCCGACAGAGCCTAAATAGACCCAGAACACAGCTACAGTCTCCATTTTACAACTAGGAACATTGGAATTGGAAAAGGCTAATCGATTTTTCCAGGGTGTCACATATCGTAACTAGTGAAAAAGGTGGCCCTTACATAAAATTCCATTTATGCAAAATCTAAATAATTGTGCTTGCAGTAATTCCCTTATGATAGATTAAACTGAGAAAGCTCAAATAATTAAAACACTTGGAAATATGACATAATCAACTATCGATAGTCATTGTAAGAGCCTTTGGGTGTTATAATAGTCCCTGGTATCTCTGGAATTGTATTAAGGAAAATTATATTTACCATGATTTTAATGCTAAATGTTCTCTGTAGCTAAGAATTAAAAAATGGTCATCCTCATTAAGTGGCTCTTAATCTATTTTCATCAAGGACCCATTTGATAGAAGTGACAAAAACTATGAACACCTTCCCTTAAACATTCACATGCATACAAAAATAGTCTTACTTTTACCATGGGGTTCATAGACCCATTGAGGCATAGGTTATGCAAAACTGACAGAAGCTAACCCATTTATCAACCTGAATATGTTAACGACTCCATGTATCTTGTCCTTACCATGCTGAATAGGTTTTTACTATGAACGTATTTCAAACATTACTATGATTATTAGCCTTTAATCCCAAAGTACCTGAACAAAAGGAGAGTCAAGGTGACGTGATGTCCTTCTGTCAGGTACCTCTACGCTGGAGGGTACAAGTGGAGCAGAAAAATTAGCTCCCGAAGGATGATTTGAGAGGGAGTATGGCACCGCGGCACTGTAGACAGAATAACCCCAGTCCCACCACCCAGCATTGGCTCTCCAACCCAGCCGCCACTGTAACCTGATAAACAGAGGCAAGGGTAGAATTAGAAATAACTTGGTGCCAGATTAATAAACTGTAGAGGAAAAGGCTACCACCTGGATAAATAGCTTCTGAAAGCTCATGTATCGTCATCAGTTCTCTAGAATCAGTATTGCAATTGTTCTACTAAATTTACGACTTGAACTGCAGTGTGCCAATGGCCGTAGTTGTCAAGTTAGTGCTTTTCCGCTGGCTTAGAGATAATCATGATTTTACAAAGTGTTGGATATTTTTTCCCCATAGGAGCAGATAATTTGTAGTCATTATTTTATATTAAAATGAGCCTCTCTAAATAATTCTTACTTTTACTTTCTTTCGTAATGCTGGGTAATTGGCTCAGATATGGTGTAATACCTGTGAACCAAACTATTGTTAAACGCTGGTTTGGTTGAGTGATTCAGATTCGGGAAGAGCTGTAAACTCAAACAGGTCCCCTCGGGAGCTAAGCAGTGTACATAGCATGTTTTTAGTATGATGTTAAATGAGCCTGCAGTAAAGGAAACACTTTTTTTTTTTAATACAGGTACAGATATGAAAGGCATTCTCTCTCCTCTAATTCCACTCTCAGCATCTCTCCATGTCTCCTGGAGTCCAACAGTCAATTACCAATCTCAGTTATGGAAAAACCACAATCCAAAAGAAGTAATGGTAAGATGATTATTTTTGTACTTGACTAAGCCAGCTCTTTTTAAAGACTTAATCGGAGCTTTCGTATGAATAAAAGAGATCTATGTGATTTTTGCTGTCAAAAGCTTTCACTACATAAGATGAGATGTTCGAGTGTGAAAAAAAAATTCCCAGAATATACGGTAGTATATGATGAGATCCTAAGAAAATACGCAGACAATCAAATTTTATGGAAAGATGGGGCATTAAGTGCTGGTGACTGAGAAGAGCTTCCAGTGGTTCCAAATAAGGTGGACTGTGAAACAGGGAAAAACTAGTTCAGCTCGTACAAGTCTCAGTCCATTGCTCAGATATAAAAGAAAAAATATTTCCCCCCCCAAACTCAGTTTACTTTCTGCGTTTGGCCCCTTTTTGCCAGAATGGTAAAAACGTAGTCTCAGCCAGTTTGTCCCTGAGCTCTACCCATTTTCCCAGGGGTTGCTTACATTCTGGGGAGCTTACATAACAGTAAAGGGGAACACTGGGGGACAGGGAGGTCTTGGTGTTATCAGTCCTCTGTCAGCCGAAATATCTAAAATCCCTCTGGTCACAGTGTTGGGTCGTACATATCATCCTGGGTCATCTTATGTCCACGTTCGTGTCCTCTTCAGCACAGCGGCTCTCTCTGATGCCAAAGTGGCCTTGGAAACATGGAAATAATTCTACTTTCCACATAAGATAGGATGTGGGGAATCTGGTGAGACTGTCCGGAGCTCCACATGCTGACACACTGCACGGCAGCGCTGCATGTGAGCCACTGAGGGGCTGTGGGAATGGTCTCTTCTGAGTCAGTCCAGGCACTGAAAACCCTGGGAAAAGACAGAGGCAGGCGTGCTTAGTACACGGTGCAGCCATCCCCGATCTGGGGTCTTCTACCTCCCTGGGCTCTACCTGACCACGGTGGTACAGGTTCTCCTCACTCACGCAATCCACGAATCTACGCACAGGGGTTTTCCATGTCCCCAGGATGCTGCACTGGCTGGCACTCAAATCCCTTCTCTCCGTAACCCTTTAGCATCAAAACACTCAGCACTTCCTCCCGCCTCTGCCATCTCACCCCCTACTCCTAGCCTGGGGAATATTTCTATATAGGCAGTATGGATGCCTTTCATTTGATACACCTGCTACCCAGCCAAATCATTTACCTATACCATGAAACCTTTTCACTCCCCTATGTCCTCATTCATGCTTTCTTTGGAGATGTCTTTTCCTGGTCAATGAAGAGGTCTGGCTCTTTGAATGAAGGGAAGGGCCAGGGGATTAAAAGACATATGAGGGGAGAAAATGGGGAGGTCGTAAAGCATATGAAATATTTACTGTCCTGCTGTATGAAAAGAAGAAAGAGAATTCCAGAAGAAAAGGCAAGTGTGAAAGAAGGTGATAGCTACCTTCAGGAGGACAGACATAAATCAATGGATGAGAACAGAGGGCTTGTTTATGTCAGAATATAATGGAGAGTAAACTCTATTCAGGTCCACGTAAGGAGGCAAGGGCATGAGCTAAAGGATGTGGACTTTCATCCGTGCACAATGTACAGTCACTGAAGGTGTTTTATGTTGGTTTTGGTTTTGCCCATCAGGGAAGAGACATGCTATCAACAATAATACAACTAATTAGGAAATACTTAAACCTTTAATGGTAAAAAGAGAAATGGAGGGTTTAGGGTTGAGGAATGCAATTTTTTTTCATGTAAGGAGACAAGTTATTAGGCAGGTACAGAGTATAAGACTCACAACTCAATCCTCTGTTTCTCCTTCACATGAGGCCCTGAACCCTTAAAGTCACAGACATTAAACACAGTGGACACGAGGCTCATCCTAGCAGTGACAGTGGGGTAAACAGAGGACTCTTCTTGAAAATGCTTGGCACAGAAACCCGATTTCGCCCACAACCATCTTGAGCAGAGCTGTCCACCGGAACTTCTCTGATGATGGAAATGTTCTGTTCAGTACAGTAGCCACTGGCTGCATGTAACAATGAAGTACTGGTTATATATAGCTAGTGTGAATGAGAAAACTAATTTTAATTTTACGTAATTTTAATTAATTAAGTTCAATAGTGACATGTGACCCCTACATTGAAAGCACAGATCTAAGTGTCTACACTTATCTACAAGACTCCTCTACTAACAAGCTTAGTTAAATCTTGCAAGTGTTAGGGCTGGAATTGATGTTGCAATCAAGTTTTGGTAAAGGCATTCCCACTATATTTTGGGGGGTGGTATAGAAATCCAGGGAAGATTCGTGAAAAATCCCTAGCCCCTTGTCTACATTCCTAGGAGAGGCAGAATCAGAGTTAAAAGCAACAGGACTGCACAGTAGTCTTTTCTGTCACCAAGTCTGATTCAGCTACACAAAAACATCACCCCAGTTCTTCATAACCCATCCTTTACCTTCAAAGATTACTTTCAAGGTCACTAAAGGAGAAAACACCTCCTACCTCATAGGGCCACTAGGAGAATTCAGTTGAACAATGTCTGCAAACCACTTAGCCCAGCGTCTGGCAGAAAGGGAGCATCTGGAAGTGGTAATCTTTGGAGGGTGTTATATTCTCACTTGTATTAAAGTCACTAAATTCTTCAAAATATATTTAATTGATGATATGGGAGTAATTATTCTACTTCACATGATCATATTAAGACATGACTTTTGGGACAGCATTGTAAAATTGTTAGCTTTGAATGCCACTCTAAAAATACTGTTGACGGTTCTTTTTGTCGGAATAGTTCTGCAGCCGAAGCACACAGGGTTTTACATTTTTATATGAATTTGCTCTGAAACAGGAGTCTTCAAAATGACCATTCACTATCAAACAATTGTAACTGTGGGCAATGTGGCTCAAATTTGAAGTTATCACTCATATAAAATTTTGAATTTCAGATAAAACTTGGTCAGCAACAAAATTCCAAATGTTGCAAAATAGAAAAGTTTGAAGATTTTAAAGCCTTGGTTCAAAATTTTGTGTTTTGTCCCAAACAGGGTATTGAATGTTATTGGGGGGGGGGTAAGAATTCAAAGAATTTATTATAAACATGAAATAAAAAGAAGAGAGAAAAGAAGTGGGGAACAGGTATGAGGAGCAGTCGAGTTCCTTGGTCAGAGGCTCTGCGGGATTTACTGTGCTGAAAATACTGGAGTTACAAAACATTTTCCAATCTGGCTCAAACTCCTATCAAATTACATCGATTGCCAACTTCTGCATTTTAATGCAGCTTTAGGACAACGTGTAGAAATGCAGAAAAACTGTTTAACGTTGATAGTGATCTAATTTCAATCCTCTTGTTTGCTTTCCCTTCAAGAGTGTGAAATTGATAGCAGCTCCTCCATGTGGGTTTATGTCTTCCTGGGGAACCTTCTTCGTGGAATTGGGGAAACTCCCATTCAGCCTCTCGGCATCGCCTACCTTGATGATTTTGCCAGTGAGGACAATGCGGCTTTCTATATTGGTAATGTGCACCTCATCCATCTTCTTGGGAAGCAGGGTGCCTGGCTTTCTCAATTCCATTCTCAACTTCATAGGGTGTGGAAGGTTTCATACTTCATCTCCAACTTCTTTATTCAGTTCACCTGTGAGCTCAGCGGCAGTGATGTACGACCCTGTACACGTACCTTCATGGAGACCTAAGAAGGACCAGAACAAGGCCTGAGCTAACCCCATGTCTGGAACAGGTCCCAGTGGATGGATTAGCAGCTAAAAATCACAAAACCCAAAATATAGCAAAGGCCAACTCCAAATCCAGATGAATCGAAGCAGCATTTATTGAGTGCCTCTTGTGTCCTGGAAGCTAAATTTGTTCTCGGTCTCACGCAACAGTCTTGACTTCTTGGGGTTCTGATCTTTTGAGGGCCTTGCCCTCAGAAACAGGACAAGATTTCAGTTCACTGAGTGGGGCTGTAGCTAGCGTCACTGTAGAGTTCTGCCCTGGCTATTCACACAGGACTCCACAGGGCTCTGATGACAGCCAAGCATGCTGTGGTTAAAAGCAAAGCACCCGTTCTAATGGAAAATTTCAGCATAGACCAATACCTGGAACTGGAAAAGAAATTCCATCACACATTCTAGGCAATCACTCTGGAGATGGGAGGAAAGGTGGCAACCAGGAGATGCACGCAGGGGTTGGGGTGTCCCCGTCCTGTCCAGGAGCTCAGTGCCTGTCCACTCTTCACCCTCTCTTCTGTTCTGAAAGGATCTGATAACTGCTGTCTACTCCTCCAGTTAATTTAAATTAATCTCCCAGTGATATGTGTATATTAAGCTCTGTGGTGAAATAAAAGACAAATGGGAGATACTTAGCCGGAAAGAGCAACCTTTCTGGTTACTAAAAACAGCGTCATTTAGGACACCTGCCCCACTTGCCTGTTTAAGCTGCCCAGGCTGCTCCTGTGCATCCCGGAGCGCATCTCTCCCCTCTCCCCTCTCCCAAGTCTAGATCCTTGGCTGGTCACGTAGTTACTGCTCTCACAGATGGTCCCATGGAAACTCTGAATGCACGTTCTTTTTCATTAAGGTGGAAGAAATCAATTTTCATGTCAAAACAAGTCTTATGCTTAACTGACCATAAAAGGTTTTTGAAAGACTGTCACAGTAGTATAATTCAGATTTTTATCACTGGGGGAAATCTAATCCGAGGCAGTAAGTTTCTGCTCCTTTGGGGGAAATTAACTTCTTCAGAGTCTTAGTGTCATTTTCTTACTAGAGTTAATTAACACCTTAAAAATGTTCATTCTTCTTCCAACACTGAGAAAGACTTATTTCTGGATTCAATGAGGTTGAAAAATGGACAAATTAAGCACATTTAAGTGAAGCGTCGATGACATATTTTCAGCTACTAGCTGGATCTCACGTGTATTTCTTGCTTAAAATGTATTAACTTACAAAAGCAAAGAAATGGTACTCTCTTTTTTATTTTTTGGTGCAGGGTGTGTGCAGACGGTTGCAATTATAGGACCAATCTTTGGCTTCCTGTTAGGCTCGTTATGTGCCAAGCTGTATGTTGACATTGGCTTTGTAAATCTAGGTAAGGGAGTTTATTTCTATTTATTCGTTTATTCTAATTCCTGTAATTTTTTAATGGGGCTGGTGTCGAAAATATCAAGTTGCCTTTCATAAAATGACAGGATGGTAGCCTTTCACAGAATGAAAATAATCCATGGAAAACTTATTACCTATATAATCACCACACACACTAATAAATGGAATAGGAAAATTGGAAAAATAGGTGGTGATCAGAACTGGATGGCCCATGGTTTGTTATTCAGATGTATCATTTTCCACTTCTGGTTTCCCAGTTCAAACGCATTCCAGCACAGTGAAGACTAACAACTGTGGCTACTTGTCGGCTCTTGTTGGTTTCAAGTACATCAACATTTATTACAGTCACATTAATTGATAACATATTCATGGACTTGCCAGTAAGGCCAAGGACTGAAAGTCTTCCGGCAACTAAAATTCTCTTCTTTAATGTACAAACTTTTTTTAGTTGAAGGCATATTATAGTGAGATGAACCTTCCTTTCAGGGGAATGCTTTAGGGGAGGGGATGAATGCAGGACCTCATCTTTCCATAACTATTAATTTGCTTCTTTCCTTTTAAGATGTAGCCCCTAGACACAGAGAGTATTCATCTGTGTGTGTTTTTTTTTTTTAAGAAATCCAAGAAAACAGAAGCAAGAAAACAAGTTTCATTTTTAAAAATTCTGGAATTGCATTTTCATCAGTCTGTGTTATAAATAATTATTGTGTATTAAAATAGAATGCAAAACTTGGGCTAGTTGTTCTTTTTTTCATCAGATAAACTGGAATAATGCATTCCCAAAATTCTATTTATTCATTTATTACCCCCTCCCCCAAAGTTTTATTTTACTTCTATTTTACCTCAGGTGATATTCTACCACAGTGAGCAAAATAGTTGAGTTCCTTGACTTCATGAAGTTTAAAATATGGTCATGGAGACTGATGGGAGATAAGAAAGTGTAGGTGTGATAAGTGGTACAGAGGAAAACCATTAAGGGGAAGCAATGAACATGCAGTGACAAACTAGTATAAACATTTTACTGAGTATAATGTGGTAGCAATTGACTAACTGTCAAAGGATTCTCATAGAGTGAGGTGGAGGGAGAAGATAATAGTATGTTTCATAGGTTCTTATATTGAAAAAAAAAACCACACTTGATTTGATTTTAGAAACTTTGTCAATACTTAACTTTTAGTCAAATAAGAAATGGTATCAAAAATAAAGTCTTTTGGAATGTGGGATTAATAGATATACACTACTATATACAAAATAAACAATAAAGACCTACTATATAGCACAGGGAACTGTATTCAGTATCTTATAATAACCTATAATGGAAAAGAATCTAAAAAAAGAATAGATAAATATATATATATATATATATATATATATATATATATATATATATATATATATATATCTGTATAAGTGAATCACTTTGCTGTATACCTGAAACTGTGAATCAACTATGTATCAATAAAAAATAAAAATTAAAAAATAAAGTTTTATGATGAATAGATATTGATGTTTTATTTACATATACAAATCTTGCTTCAGACCTAGAATAGCTCTGAAGCATTACTAACCATCATGTAATACAAAACCTTCTCAGTGGTTCAGACTAGATTTGGGCCAGAGGTTGTAGGGAATAACTTTTCCTTCCAGTAAAATCTTAGATGGATATTCTGCATGTAAATCAGGTGAGAGTGGTAATCCTGCTGGGTAGCTGGCAGAAGGTCTGAAGCCCTCATAACTCTCCCTCACATGTTGCTTTTCTCCTGTTGTGGGTCCAGGGGTCCCTCTGCAGAACCCAGAGCAGAGTGAGACCCGTTCTGGTATGTAGACTCTGTTAAACTTTTCATCTAAGGAACAAAAGACAGCATCGGGCTCCGAAAACACCCCTTTCCCTTCAAAAAGCAAGATAATAACAATGTTCAGATTCAAAAAAGTTGTGTATGAATTATTAGGTCTTTTTATGATGTGACAGAGCTAATATTAGCTTTAGGATTTTTTTTTAAAGAGGCTTATTTCAACATATTAACTTCGCTGTGCATGCTCTCTGGCCACCCTCTCTCTCTTTCAGACCATATAACCATTACCCCAAAGGATCCCCAGTGGGTAGGCGCCTGGTGGCTTGGTTATCTAATAGCAGGGACCATAAGTCTTCTTGCAGCTGTGCCCTTCTGGTGTTTACCAAAGAGTCTACCGAGACCCCGAAGCAGAGAAGATTCCAATTCCTCCTCTGAGAAGTCTAAGTTTATTATGGATGATCACACAGACTGCCGAACACCTCTTGGAGGAAAAGCAAAAATAATGGAAATGGCAAGAGGTGAGCCAGATTCTCCTTGATTTTGAAGCATGTTCAATTTTCCTGCTGGAAATTACAGGGAAACTATAAATAATACCTCTTTCTCCTCTTCGAGTGTTCGGGGAAAAAACAAAGAGAAACCGTACAGGAAGCAGAAATGAAGGTTATTTAAAAATCAGCTTTATTACTGGAAAACTGATTGAAGAAATTGACCACAGAGTCTTGGTACCTTACTTGTTGATGTCTCCACTCTGACGTCTCTCAGTATAGACGTTGCAACGGCCCCTACCTGCAAGGGCTGCTTCGCGTTAGCCTGGGTGGACAGAAAAGGAAAGAGTGACTCTTCAGGGCTTGTGGTCTTTTAACCGATGAGATCCACCCACTTGAGAAACGTGTATCTGGGCATGTGTCCCACCAGTGACCAAAGGAGTGAGTGTGGTGTGGGGCAAAAGGTCAGACGTTTTCCAGTGAATTCCCTCCACGAGGAACTAGGTGGCCATGAGAAAAACTGATCCCCTTCAATTGGCCCAGCAACATTTACATTTATAAAAATCTTCACGTTTCTGTTTGGCTGGGTAAAAGGAAGAAGGGAGAATCCCAAAGTTCATTTCTTACAATAATTAACTGGAAGTACCTTTCCTATTTCTTTCTCTGTACCCACGACCCAAGTTTGAAGGAGAGAGACAAGAAAATTGAAGTCGTGGATGTCTTGGCTATGACTTGTGTATTTAACCCACGTCAGAGGAATCTGGTCCCATCTGACCAATGCCTTGAATTTATAATCTAATTTAGATAAGCGAGTTGTCAGATCTCAGCCTTGACTTGTGCCAGTGTCTCCCTATCCGCGGTACACGTGTGCACCAGGCTCTAAATGCTCCTGAGAACTACTGCAAAGGAACTCAGCATCCTAAGCCCTGATGCCACAGCTGTATCTTCTGCCAAGTGTCACACTGCCTTTAATGACTCCATGCTATTTTTGTCTTACAGATTTTCTGCCGTCACTGAAGAGTCTTTTTGGAAATCCAGTGTACTTCTTGTATTTGTGTGCCAGCACCGTTCAGTTCAATTCTCTGTTTGGCATGGTGACATACAAACCAAAGTACATCGAGCAACAGTACGGGCAGTCGTCCTCCGAGGCCAACTTTGTTATCGGTACGCTTCTCTGTCCTTCCTTCCTTCCGATAGGTACTAGCAACGGCGTCCTGCTAACCCTTAGTAATTTTAATTGTTCCAATATTTAGACTGAAGGTAATTTATGGCATTTCAAAAAGTGAGTGGAAAAAAAAATCTGGCAGAGTGAAATATTTAGTCTGTGGAACAAGTTTATAGCAAAAATTATTCAGAACTATGGGTGAGTGACCATGAGAATACCGCGTGGAGCAAATGTGCATTTAATTAGTCGATGGTTATTACTGAATATTTGTCTTTCAAGTGTAGCTAAAACCTCCTAACAGTGGCTGTTTTACCCGAACAGTTTCTAGGATTGCAAAAAGTGAGCATTCAGACAGGCTGAAAGGTGTTCATTACAAAACAAAGTTCGTTACAAAATCAGAGTTAAAAGACTTCTCTGATTCCTGGCATTTGGATTACTCTGAAAGGCTATGTTTCTAGGATAGCAGGACAGCTAATAGAGAGAAAGATATTCAAGGGTAAAGAAAAGCATGAAAAAACAAATGAAGAAGAACTAGAATCTACAAATACATAACCATCACCCTGCAAGCAATTGTATAACTTTAAAATCTGGATTAACTCCTTTAGTCCTTGAAGATGTCATTTAATGCTACTATTTCAAAGGGTAAAATACATTCTGTTTCTTTGGACATGTTCCTTTATGATAGGAGACTCCAATGGTTTAAAATAATTTCTTCTTCATTTAAAATATTTAAAGAATTGCTTTATGAATCTGTCTCTGAAAGAGACCTCAAGGTTGGGGTGGGGGAGGTGGAAACAGCTGAGTATATTTTAGATGTATGATTTTCCTGTAACAATCCTGGGTAATGGGCACTTAGCAGATGCAATTCTAGTTGACTCTTTGTTTGAACTGTTAGTCCCCTAAATTCTAAATGTTGAGGCTCTACCACTGAAGTTTTACTTTCACCATTAATTGGTTCAAGTTAATTTAATTTTATTATTTAATGATTGACCTGAAGAAATACTTTAGGGTTTTTTTTAACCCCATGCCCCATCCATGCCAATCAATGCTTTATACTGACTTTAAGATTAGAAGAGGAACAAAAGTTTGAGACATTTCTTTTTAATATTTTTAAATTCTTTTGTGTTTACTGAGATATAACTTACAAACAATAGTTAAGCCTACAGGCCTTAAATGTGTAGGTCAGCTGGATAAATGTTTATATATGTATATATACATGTATGCATTGTGACCATTATCCAAAATATATAGCACATTTCAGTACCCCCAGAAGTCTCCCTTAAAGTTTCTTCCACCTAATATTCTCCTCCCAGCTAATAACTATTCTGAACTCCACCATCATAGATCAGTTTTGCCTGTTTTTGAACTTTATATAAATGGAGTAAGTTCTGTACCCTTTTGTATCTAGCTTTTTCCAGTGGAAGTGAAATCCACAAGATTCATTCATGTTATTGTGTGTAGTGATGGTTTGTTCTTCTCATTACTGTGCAGTATCCCATGGCGTGAATACACCACAGTTGATGCATTTTCTTGTTGATGGACATCTGGGTTCTGTACTGCTTTGGGCTACTATAAATAACACTCCATGAACATTCTACATCGATTTTGGTAGGCAGATTCACTCATTCATCTTGGCTATATCTGGAATTGCAGGGTCAGAGGGAGTGCCTACGTTTGGATCTGATAGATGTGGCCAAAACATTTCATAAAAGAGTCGTGCAAATTTTGTTTTTGTTGTTGAGGTGATATAATATTATTATGAGGTGATGAATGTGTTAATTAACTATTATTATGCCCAAGGATGACTAATTTTACTTCTTTGTCTTCACCCAACTGGTTATATTAGTATATAAATTCTTCCTTGGATTTCTTTCTCTGTTAAATTCAGATTTTAATGCTTATTTCTTCTAACAGTAGGGTAATATTGTGAGGGTCCATGATATAACATGGACTTTTACTTCCCTAGGACAAAATCTCTAAAACATCCCCAAATACTGTTATTACTATAACTCATTACTATTTCATCCTAATGGCTAAGGTTTTTCATGCACCTGGATGGGAATGAATCAAAGTTCCCAGTTTATACTGTAATTGTGTTGACCATCTCAAAACATTTTACACATCCCTTATAACTCTTGTTTGGGACAGAAGCAAAAAAAAGGGTCTTTAATGTGAACAAATGTGCTGAAATAATAATCATCATCATCATCATCATCATCATCTTTTAAATTTCTCTTAGCTTTCCTTGGGTACTTAGGTAAATATGAATATTAAAGTCAAGAGAAAATATATAAAATAAATGGAAACAAATTGCAGGGGCTAGCATAAGTTGCAGTTAATATTTCCATTTGAAATATTTAGATGGTAAACATTTTAAGAGCAACATGTTTTATGGTGTGAGTGGAAAAACTGTGCAGTGAAGAAATCAGAGGGAAATTTCACTCTTTAAATGACTCAAAAAATACCTTAGATGAAAGAAAAGAGGCTTCTGGAGGCAAGAAGCACATCTCATCTGGTGTTCAGAAAGTCTGCCATCAAATTGGCCCAGCAAGGACAGCTGACAGATTTTAGGAAACCTGAAAGGGTCAATCAAGGTGACAGTATGTTTGAAAAGTACTATGAATCTTTTTGGAATCATGTTATCGTTTAGTGATCTTGAAGTTGGAGAATGAGACATTCTGGAGAAACGGGTTTTATGCACATTTTTATGGAAAACTGTCTGTGTAAGGAACACAGGATTCAATGGTGAGCACATTTCTTGCCTTGAAGGTTGGACTGGAGGGTGAGAGGTATGATCCAAACAAGGTAATAAGTAATTGCGATAGGTACCAAGGCTGCTGCCCACAGGACCCTGCACAAGGGCCTCAGACTGAGGGAGGAAGGGGGTTCTGATGACCACGCTGTGCACCCTGCTGTCAGATGTGTTCCCTGGGGGCACACGTGGCTGGTGGAGGGTGTGATAAATGCTCTGTTCAGGGGAAGCCCAGGGAACTCTGAAGAACAAACCCACTCTGGAAGTCAGACAGACTTACGTAGGAGAAGGTGATGATACCCAGATCAAGAGCAAAAGGACAAGGAGATGTTAAAAGATGAAAGTATGAGGACTGGAGTGGGCATTTGGGGGGTCACTGGGTCAGACAGCAAGCATCTTGAAAGGAAAGACCTAGAAGAAAGAGAACATGTGAAACTTCATGGAAGTTTCAAGTGAGCACGAGCCTCTGCAAAGAGGTCAGTCAGGAGAGGGCGTTCCTGATTTTTAACAATCCACATGAGGGAGCAGTGCCCCTAGAATCACTGCATATTGATCCTCAGGCTCTTCCAAGCCAGATGGAGTGGTGGGAGGTCTGTGGACTCCAGGACGCAGGTAGCTACAGACTAAAGGGTGAATTTTGTGCTATGATTTCTTCTTTTTTTTTTAAGGACTGTTGACATTTTATTATTTTTTTTTAAATGGAAGTAGTGGGGATTGAACACAGGACCTTGTGCATACTAGGCACATGCTGTACCACTGACCTATGCCCTGCCCCCTGTGCTATGATTTCTTATGTTCCCAGTTCGATGGGTGCTTAAGAAAAAAAATAAACTTCTAACCACATTTTCTGAAGGTTTCAGTTCAGAGCTTGCTTTTCAGAAGATATTCTTTTCCATGAACTGTTTCTAGGGGACAGAATTGAGAGAAAGACTAGGGCTCTGTGCTCTTTTGTGTCAGTCTCAGGTCTATGAGAAGGGATTCAAAAGCAAATACTAAGAATGTGTGTGTAAAAATACGGATTTAAATGATGTGCAGCAAATCCATGGCAGCACTTATTCTTGGGAAGGAAAATGGAACCTAGAACAGAGGGACAATCAGTTTTCTATATCTCCATATTTTAAAAATCAGAAAAAACTGGGAGAAAATATTAGCAATTATTAACTTGAGTCATGGAATACCAGGTTTATTATAGTATTGTCTATTATCTGATCTCTCTTAAAAAAAAATAACTCATTCTATGAAAAGTGCCATTGGTACTTTGACACAGATTGCACTGAATCTGTAGATTGCCTTGGGTAGTATGGTCATTTTAACATTAATTCTACCATGTGACCCAGCAATTCCACTCCGGATATATATCCAAAAAAATCCAAAACCACAAATTTGAAAAGATACATGCACCCCAGTGTTCACAGCAGCATTATTTATAATTGCCAAGGTATGGAAGCAACCTAAGTGTCCATCAACAGATAAAGAATATATGGTATATATTACACAATGGAATACTACTCAGCCATAAAAAATGAAATTGTCATTTGCAACAACATGAATGGGCATTATGCTAAGTGAGATAAGTCAGACAGAAAAAGACAAATACTGTATGTCACTTGAATGTGGAATCTAAAAAAATACAACAAACTAGTAAATAAAACAAAAAGGAAGAAGACTCACAGATATAGAGAACAAACTAGTGGTTGCCAGTGGGGAGAGGGAAGGGGAGAGGAGCAATATAGGGGTAGGGGATTAAAAAAATTGTTAATGTGGGATTATCTGAAATCACTTGTGTGAAACTTTTTAAAATTGTGAAGCACTATAGAATTTAAAGAATCTTTCATTCAGTAATAAATAAATGAGTAAACTTTCAAGTCCAATAATAATAAATAATAATAATCTGGTGCCTCTCACCTGATGTTTGGCTCTTCAGGGGTCCAACACACATTCTCTGCCACTTGTACTCATAAACTTAAGTTCAGCTGAAGAAGCAAAAATTAACATTTTTTAAAAATTTCACTAATTTCATGATCATGCCTTCTTCAAGGTGAGTTGATTTCTAATGTGATCATTTTAATGTTAACTTAATGTATAGTCAACTCAAAAGAGACGAAACAAAATGCCCTTTTAAAAATCATCTATCAACCCATGGTGAAAACATTTTTAAAATAATGTAATTGCTAGCCAAAGATCACTAAATATTTGATATTTTAGAGTCTATGAAACTTAGTTAGGAGACTAGATATACAAATATAAAAAGAAAGAAAGAAAAGGAAGAAAGGAAGGATGTTAGTTTGCATGTCATCATCACTAGATGTGTTTTTGATTTTTAACAGTCAAATTGCAGTGTGAGTCAGAGACAGGATACTTATAATTGTTGTTTACCTTACCAATGCTTAAGCTCATATATGAACCTTGTTTGCTGGCCAAAATTTCTACAAACTTCACCCCTTTTATTATTTGAAAGAAATGTGTTATCTCAAAACCTCACGATAATGTGGACATCAGTGACAGATGAGTACATAATATGAAACATAAATTCTAATTCACAGAGAAGTTCTTTACCATTAAGTGCCTGATTGCCTTACTGTACAGTTATTTACCAATTTACAGTCCAACCAATGGACTCTTTCCAAAGAACCTCTTTCCCCATCTTTCCTAACACAGAGGTATTCCACTTCCCCATCCCAGTATTTTCCTCTTTTTAAATCTTATGGATAGAAATGTTAATAACTTAATTGAATGATATTTTGTGCCAGTAATATTGTGCTTTTCATATCATTTAATCCCCTCAACGCTATTATTAGTTCCGTATTATATGGGAGGAGACAAGTTTAGAGAAGTTCAGAGAATTACCTGCACTGACACAGCTACTAAGTTGTAGAACTGAGATCCAAACCCATGCAACTGAGTCCCTGAACTCCAAACTCTCAACCACTTTGTTGGATTTCTTTCTAGTGTTGTTTTTAAGTCACATTTATTTGACTACTAGTGAGGCTGCACATCTATTTATCAAGAAAACCCTCAAATTCCTTGACGGAGAGGCAGTTTAACATAGTGATTGAAAGCATGAAACTTGATCTCAGACTTCCTGGATTCAAATTTGGCTTTTCCACTTACTAAGCACAACCATGAATAAACTGCTCTTTGAAATGAGGATAAATAATATGCTTATATCCTAAGGCTGTAGTGAAGAGTAGATGTAATAGATATTCTATCAAGTGCTTAGCTGAGTGACTAGAACATTGTAAGCAAATAACAAATATGAAAGTTGTCTAATGAGGAGGAGGAGGAAAGAAGGAAGGGGAGGAAGAGGAGGAGGAGGAAGAGGAGGAATGGAAGGAAGGGGAGGAAGAGGAGGAAGAGGCAGAGGAGGAGAAGAAGCAGCAGAAGAAGCAGAAGGAAGAAGAAAGAAGAAGAAAAGAGAGAAGAAGAAGAAGAAGAGAGAAGAGAGAGAGAGAGAGAGAGAGAGAGAGAGAGAGAGAGAGAGAGAAGAGAGAGAGAGAGAGAGAGAGAGAGAGAG